AAATGGGGAATGTGTCAAAGAGACAACGACCCGACATAGAGCAGACAACAGCCGAAGGGCACCAATGGGTCTTCAATGCAGCGAGAAACTCCCGCACCCGGAGGCATCCTTCAGCTGGCCCCTAAACAAATATGTATACTAGTTCAGTGATAATGGACGTCATACTAAACTCCAAATTATACACAGGAAACTAAAATTAAAAATGATACAAGACTAACAAAGTTCACATGTCAAAAACGTAAAAAAAATAAAACAGAGTAACACTAACCCCACAAAAACCCTGAATGAACTCAGGTTCTACAGAAGGGTAAGCTGATCGTACTCCATATGTAGCACTCGGTGTGGTTATTATGGTAAGTACAATTTGGTTGATGGCAAAATTAAGAAAAACATATTGTGTCTTGGCTCCGACAATTCGAACATAATCGTGGTCAAATGTGAAACATATATCCCATTACAATCAATCTAGTTATGATGGCAAAGGTTAGTTTGATTTATGTTTTTCACATTAAGGTACAGAAACTACTACTATATATTGTTCATTGGATTTGATTTCGATATTGTGTGGCACTTCAGGCCTACTTTTGAATGATAGTAAGTATTGTTTTCATTCATCTCTAAATTCCATTCATCGTACGCTTTCTGTTTTTTTTATAAATGTTCCAAGGTAATGAAATTGTCTTTGACTTTATTTTGTGGAGATTTACTTTTCTATTTTGTGTCTTTATTTATCTTTGTTTGTTTTTTTGTATTAGGAGTTCTAGTCGATTCACGACGATTGTTTTTCTGGTTATGGTAATATTTTTTAACCGTTCTTTTTTTATTTTTCCTCCATTCTTGATTACCTTTTTCTCTTATCTTTTTAAAATTTCTCATCCGTTGTGACATTAAGACAGTTTTCAAGATAATGGAAGAATATTCTGAATAAAACTATTCATCTTTCAATTCATCACTTATTTTTCTGGTAAAAAATTAAGATGTATAAAATCTCCTTGGAGTGTATTGTTTGTTTTATCTATTTTTATTCTTTCTTGAATGGGTTCACCTGAAATTTCCTTACTTAAATTCTTTCGTCTCCATTTTTTTTAAAAATTACATATGCTTATTTTTTTCCCAAACAACTAAAATTTGTTTCATTTTGGAATGGAATAATTATCAAAAAAGATTGAAAACACGTCTTTTAGGAAATCATTGTTTTAAGATTTGGTGTCTTTTCGAACATGGCAATCATTAATTTTACACACAAAACCATTTGACTTCGTACATTAAATCATTTAATGGGCAGGCATGCGTTTCACATCTCAAATCATAAGTCTACAGAATTGTTCATGATTTACGATTAATTTTAGCCGTAAGATTTTTTGTGAAACGAAGACAAGGATCGTTTATTTATCTATTCAGTATATTGACACACTCATGTGATTATTTTCGCTGTTTAACTTCCTTGTACACATTGGAGGTAACTGACGTTTTCTATAACCTTTTATGTTATCTGGCTGTATTAAGGGGGCAACTGTTTGATTTTTATGGGGCGGGGGGACAAACGGATCCTTTACGGAAGGAATATTCACCACTGCCTTTTTCTAGGCCGGCTTATTTGTCTTCAGTTTTCAGCATAATTATTTCCTATATTTTATGGAACAGAATATTCCTTTTCATCCTTTCTTGAACAAAAATATTAACTTTCAGTTCTTACAAAATAAGCTTATTATTTTTTTTAAATTCTTAAATCCTCGTGCCTACCCCAGAAAACCAAACGGTATGATTGGAACGCAGTGATCGTAAGGGCATAACAGGGGGTGATAATCAAATGATAATAACGTATTAATATTAAATGCTTCGTTTTCAAACTTGCCATCACTTGGCGTCCGTCGTTGTCGTAAACTTTTTATAAATCATCCCTGAAAGTAATGAAATGATTTCAACCAAACTTTGAATGAAAGATCCTAATATGGTATCAAGTATAAAGTTTTGTGTTTTGATTTCGATCAGTCAAAAAATGGCCACCATGGCTTAACATAGAACATCAGGATATCATGCACCTGCGGAGCCAAACATGCTCAAATTGTCAAGATCCTCATTCCTATTTTCAAAAAAATGATCAAATGACCCCTTAAGAAGTTATTGCCATAAAATGATGATTTTTGAGTAGTTTTCATCTTTATAACCTTTTTACTCAAAAACTGTACTAGATATGTAGAAATTGTTAGAAACAAAAATTATCAACAATAAAAGATCTGCACAAATGACTATATGACCAAAACCATTGGATAACACTTTAAGGGGTTTTTGCCCGTAAATGACGATTTTGACTAGTATTAGTGCTTTGCTCGTTATCTGGAAAAGTAAAATAAATAGGAAGAAACTGTTAAAATCAACCATAATTAAGAATTTAAGCTAGCTTGAATAAATCAACCAGTTTTTTTCAGTTCTATAGAGGTCTACTCAGGCCTTTCCATTTTCCCGTTCAAGTCCGAGATTTGACGACATGTTGCTTTTGTATTTTGGATTTAGAGGGTTTTGCAGGGGGCAAAGCGTTTACTTGATTATAAAAAAAGAATATAACAAAGCATAAATACAAAGCTATATGTAAAACATCAAGCAAACAAAAAAAAAGCAAAGAAGAGAAAGGAAACAATGGATGACGCTTACACTGATGTCTTAAGATAGCACAATTCAAACCGTACGAAAATCAGCTGTAAACAATGGAAAAATGAAGTCCTTTTTTTCATAGCGTTTAGTACATAGCAGACCCTCATTTCCAATTTTGATATGTAATTTGAGAACTAAGGTTGATTCAATCTTATCTTAGATGCAATCAACAAAGTCAACAAACTTTAAATAATTCAGTGAAGGAATATATCATCGATGTATTGAAAATTGAAATAAAATGATGATTGACACAGTTGGTTTCCTTAGTAAAACCGCCATAGTAAACGTAAGATATTGTTTGCCAATATCAAAAATCCTGCAGTGAAATGGATTCACCACTTTCATCAAGGCGGCTCACATCTAAACATATAACAGACAATAGTTATAAGAAGATGTGGTATGAGTGCCAATGAGATAACTCTCCACCCAAGTCAAAATTTGTAAAAGTAAACCATTATAGATCAAAGTACGGAAGAATGCATGATCATGTATTAGACCCAAACACAAAAGGCTTGGCTTGGTTAGGTTTTGACTGAACAGCTGTTTTAACATTAATATGTTTGGTTCTTAAGAAGAAAGATAATTATTAAAATATCGTTTTTTTTAAGCAAGAGGTTCCTTCTTTCCAAAAAAGTATAACAAACTTATCGAACTTTGAAAAAAGGGAAAAACTATGAAAACTATGAATCAACGGAGCAAGTAAAATCATCTGCAATATTCCTAACTTGTTACAGCTATTTTCCTAAGAAAATGACGGGATTAACCAAAATAGTTAGTGTACACTTTCGGTTTACATACCTCTAACAATTGTGAGAACGTTACTTCTATAGGAGCAGCCAACGGATTATTATTTCTTTGATATTCCTGTTCAAAAACCTTCAGGATCAAATTGCACATGTATTTGTGTATACTTATAAAACATTTCCCCTAATTCTTACACAATTTATCCTTTTACTGACCTGTTTAATATGTTTATATAATCAACGTGTGGTTCGTTTGACCTCAGATTTTATTGGTCAAACTTTGATTATGACGTCCCATAGTCTTGCTTTGCTTTGAATTTGCTATTGTGACGTCATGGAGTATGCTACCTTGTCTGATGACGTCACATAGAAAGAACACATTATTTTGTAAATCATTCTTATGAAGGATTGATTTTATCTGTATATCATTTACAAATCATTGGAGAAACAGAGTCAACCACAAAATCTTGTACAATACGATATTCATCCACTCTCGACAGTTAAATTTTAAATATGAAAATTCAGATGTCTCGAGTGGATTAATATCCTGCCACATTAAATGCAGTGTTAGATTCTATACGTATTTAACTATCTGTAAATAACTCTTATATAACCTACACAAATGGATAGGTTAAACGTTTGAAGTTATTTAGTAATACCTTAAAATCAAAAACAGGGATATTCAAATCATTTATAATTCGATCAATGCAGTTGGTATTTTGTTTTTAAGGTGGCTCGGCCCTTTAACAGTGCGCAAGTTTTAACGCATGTTTCTAACGACGAGCGCCTTGGAAACAATCGCTTTGAGGGGTCTTCTCAAAAATAGTTTTGACGACATTGGCACGCGGGCGTGTCTGAGAGCACCCTTTCCCGATGTCAACAAGCGATGCAAAACTTCTGCAAAAAAGGAAATACGGTCGGGTTTGTTCATTTTTCACATAAAAGTTTAAAAGGACAGAAATATACATGATATGAGCATAACATTAAAAACCAGAAAATATGAATTATATTTACATTTTGTATAATTGTACGACTGCCAATGACGCAATATTTTACCTAAAACAAAGGACAGCGATGTAAACAACTATCGTATCGTATTGTGTTTTTGACCGTCTTACGTTTTCGACCTAATCCTTCTTTCACTTCCCGTATGCTGCGCGTGCCCGCGTGACGTCATAATCGGCTGCTATACTTAGTAACAATAACAAATAATTCCACGTGTGGCGAAGATGTTCCAAGTAAAGTTATTACAAGTAAGTATTTACGTTTTTCTATTTGATACATTTTTGTACCCTTTCACTAATACTTTTTGTACCCTCCAAAAGAATCTATTAAAAATAAATAAATATTCTATAAATATGCCTAAAGATTTTTTGCACAAAAAGTTCACATCCAGGTCATTAAGTCACGTGACTGTCATGTGGTTAGTCGTCATACTTAAAACTTATTTTCAATCCGGAAAATTGCATGCTCCTTACAGTTTTTTACTGAAAAAAAATATTAATTAATTTCGAATTACAGAAACAACAGTCTGTTAGGAAAGATTACAGACAATACTCCCCAACCTCACTTCACAATGCCTTGACTAAAGTCTGAAATAAAAACATGACTGTTTACAAGGCTTCCAAAGTATATGGAGTGCCAAAGTCAACCCTCTTTGATAGAGTTTCTGGAAGGGTTGGTGTAGATGTAGTGAAGTCTAGCCTTGCCCCAGCATTGGATGTAGAGCAAGAAGCAAGACTGGTTGACCACATAAAAATGATGGCAAATTTTGGTTACGGGTTAGTTTAAATTTTAAAAAGAGGGGAAATAAATGCAAATATTTCAGGAGTTTCAAATTATTATTTTTTTTTAAATGCTAACAGCTTCAATGTTTTTCATTGAAAAATATATTTTTAGATTCAATTAATTTTCATATATATTTAAATAATTTGTGTCAGATGCATGTACATACTTTTTTCTTCCAAATATTATTCTAATAATATTTATTGTTGTAATAATATTCATTGCTATTACTATTATTATTATCATTATCATTATTATTATTATTATTATTATTATTATTATTATTATTATTATTATTATTATTATTATTATTATCATTGAAGATACTCAATATCTGAAGTTGTTGACTTGGCCACAGATTATGCCGTGTACATGGAGCTGAGAGAAAAAAGCAAACCATTTACCCTGAATTGGTTCTACTCATTCATGTCTAGATGGCCAGAGTTTAAAACCATCAAAGCCAGGGGTTTAACCATATCAAGGGCAAAATCTGCATCACAAGAAAATACTAATATCTATTTTCAGGAACTAGAAACAATTCTTGTAAAATATAACCTTATTGATAAACCTCATTGCATATACAATATTGATGAGAAATGGATAAATTTTCAGCATAAGCCAACAAATGTTGTTGGTGCAAAAGATTCTAAACCTCCTGGTATTACTTCAGAGAGATCCCCAACGGTTACGATAATAGGGGCAGGAAATGCATTAGGCACCCAAATACCCCCATATCTTATATTTGCAGGTGCTAGAATGAATAATAGTCTTATTGAAGATTGTACAAATGGTAAATCAGTGGATCAGGCTGGTCAACACTGAAATTTTTCATAAATATCTTGGTGAACATTTTATAAAATATGCTCAAGGATTAACTGATGACCAACCTGTTCTACTGATTTATAATGGGCACAAATTACATGTAGCGTTAAGTGTAATTGAATGGACAAAGGCTCACAATATTATAATTTTAGTTTTGCCAGCCCACTGCAGTAACATTCTACAACAATAAGATGTTGGCTGCTTTGGGCCCCTCAGCAGAATTTTAAATAATTCCTGTCATAAATATTTACGTGAACATAGAGAACCAATCAGTAGGTACAATATTGGTAAACTTGCTACAGATGCATATGTGAAGGATTTGTCGCCACATAACTTAAACACTTCCCTTGAAAAAAAACTGAGTATCTGCCATCACTTTGCTTCCGTCAACTGTATTTACGACGGACACAGTTGACCCTGACAACGCTGTACAAAACAAACAAACTAACCATGACAGTGAGAATTCTCCATCTGTTGACAGTGACGCTGGACATGTCTTACCTGACACTGGACTTGACTTACCTAACACTGGACTTGACTTACCTGACACTAGACCTGAATTACCTGACACTGGACTTGACTTACCTGACACTAGACTTGACTTACCTGACACTGGACTTGACTTACCTGACACTAGACTTGACATAGCTGACACTGGACTTGATTTACCTGACACTGGAAACATCACATTGATTGATGAGGTAGATCTATTGCCTGACGAAGATGAGACAGACATCTCGACGATTAACGAAATACAGAAGAGTACAGCTGTTTTTTTTCAAACAGTGTGAGAAAAATGTTGGTATTGTTGTAAAAAAACAAGCAAAAAAGAGGAAGTATTTGTCAAATATTACATCTGGTAAATCTATAACTGAGGATGATGTAATGGCTGATATTGTAGGACATTGTAAAAAGCCAAAGAGTGTAAATAATACAAGTAAATGTAAAAAAACTGAAGCATGTGTGGTAAACAATCTTAACATGGTTAAGGTTACTAAACCTAAGGAAGTAAAAGAAGTTAAAGTTGTTGCTAAAACAAAAAAAGTGTCACCAAAACCTGGTACTTCTGGTTTACAGAAACTGATTATTTCAGATGATGACTCATTTGATGATACATGCAGTATTGAAGATACTGATGAGTCACCATGTTGTGTATGTAAGAAACGTTTCCCAGAAGCATTCAGACAGTGTGTGTCTCTTGTTTTTGCGCAGTGGGGTAAATGTATGTATCCTCAATGTGACCACTGGACCCATCTGAGATTTTGTTGTAATGTGAATGTTCTTAGGCGTCATAGTATTTTTTTTATTGTCCATGTCTACAGTATGAAAAGTGATATGTGAAAAGTGTATGAATAGTCAAATAAAGATATCAAAGTAATATTTCATATCTCATAGTTGTATATGTTACCATTTAATTCCTTTAGTCATAAGTTTGATCCCCTCTTGCACTTTAAATAATTTGATATGTACATTGGCATCAAATTATTATCAATTCCGGATTTGTACGACATGTCATTTCCGACTTTGGACCCGTTTATTAGATAGGTCGAAAACACTTAAAGTAGCACGGTAGTATTTGCATTCCTGAATTTAGGTTGCTTTTTTGTGTTCCCTACTTAAGTCAATGTATATGAACAGCGTGATTGGACAAAAAATACAGTATCAACTGAACATACTTTCCCAAACTGAGGGATGAATCAGGTGCAGAAAAATATGAAATAATTTTACATACAGGTGAAAATGAATTTTTAAGAATTTTTGAAAATTTTGTATTCACTGCATGATAAAAGATCAAAAAGCACTAGTGGCCTTAGGTTTTTAAAGATAGCAAAAAAAGTAAACGGTCATGATACATATTTTAATTCATTTCTGAAAATTATAATGAAAGTACTTCAGTAAACTGTGTATGTATAATTTTTGGCAGTGCTAGAAAGTGGTGAAAAGTCTGAAATGGCTATCATTATCCCTTATGGGCCAGGAAATACTACCGTGCCACCTTAACTGGCAACCCGCTGATTGATACTTCGACACAAACTGTGTAGTTTAGAGCGAAACAACAGCAGGGGTCCAGTTAACGAAAACACAAGACGCCAGTTTTTGTCAACAAAGGTGACATCGATCTAATGAACTCAAATAAAAAAAATATTTAAGATCGAAATATATTTCAGATACAGTAATTTTATGCACAAGTATACTAGTGACTCCCAAAATATTAGACATGTCTGGGTTCAAACAGATAAAAGGGGAATTCGGAGAAATGTGTTAGAAGGTCGAAAATACAATACACGAGGATACATGTCACCGTACGGCTTTCAAAAACAAGTAAAACCCATGCATAGTATGGTATAGGAACCTGTTGTTCAGTGGTTGTCGTTTGTTGATGTGGTCCTTAAGGGTTTCTCGTTTTTATATAGATTAGACCGTTGGTTTTCCTGTTTGAATCGTTTTACATTAGTCATTGTGGGGCCCTTTATAGCTAGCTTGCTGTTCGGTGTGAGCCAAGGCTCCGTGTTAAAGGCCGTACTTTTGACCTATTATTGTTTACTTTTTACACATTGTGACTTGGATGGAGAGTTGTCTCATTGGCCCTCCACATCTTATTTCTATATAAAGGCTTCGGGGGTTCATCTGCACGCTATCCGTTTTGCGTATTATAACATTTTGTCACTGTCTTAATCTTTTTTTTTTACTTGAAATATCTTCATTTTCAAGTATTGTCAGGATTTTATTCCAGAGCATGTGAAATATGTTCTCACTGCAAAATTTGGGTAATTTTTAAGTATTTTTTATTTACCAAAAACAGTTTTGAACGCAACAATTTTCAAGCAAAGACTAAATACTTGACAGTCACATCTAACATTTTAATTTACAGATTTACATACTTTATCAAATCATTGGAACGAAAAAGCACTTTAAAACAACCACTGTCCTCTAACTGGAAGGATTTTTTTTTGTATTTGTTAGCGTAAAATATATCTATCAAATTATCTCATATCATAATTCCATGATTTCCGGAACTCTTAGACTAGTCCTATAACATAAGACCTCGGGGCCAATGTTTTCTATTTATGACATTTTCCTTTTACTTGTTTTATTATTTGTTATTTTCTATTTTATCTATCAATGTGACAAACGAGTTCGCATTAAAAAAAGAGGAAATATCAGCGTTAAAACGTTAATAGTTGAATAAGAATGTGTTATTATAATAGACTACCGGAACTCGAGCAACACATTTCACTAAATTGATTATTTGTTTTACACAGAAAAAAACCCGACACTTCAAGAAATTGCTGTTTTCCACCTTTGATCATAGATGAAAATAGGTCAATAGTAACCTGGACCTATTATTCCGACCTTATAGGTCTATGCTATTATCCCTCAATGCCATAAAAGGCACAAAATATGCACCAGAATCAAGTTACCTTGTTTTGGCCGCATGCTTTGCGGAGAAGCGCAAAATCTTTGGTTTGACCAAGTCGGGATTTAGCCTAGGACACCCGCAGTCTACCGGGCAGTTCCAAATACTACCAGCTAAGGCTTTATTTTATAAACAAAATTTATACTACTTGCTTGGTTCAGGAAAAGTTGGGATTGGAATTTTAAAACTCCGCCCAGTACATAGGGACACTATATTAGTCGGTGATATAGGAAATTTCAACTGTCTTACTTGTTGAAATGCGTTTTTGAAAAGGGAAGCTATTAAAGAAAGTTCTTGATTTCAAAAAATGAAAGTGGAGTATGTCATTACGGCAAAAAATATGAATGGCAATCTTCTTAATGATGTATGAACACTGGTTTTACCCACCTGCTGCAAAGTAACGTAATTATCGGTCTATGATGATAATAAGGAGATGACAATGTTTTTTAAACTAGAATCGTAGGATTAACATGGGTATAGACACATGACTTCCCTAATCCGACAGATAACCCTTTGCAAGGTGTTCATACAGTTGGATGTATAAATACGCAGCCTCGTAGGGTAAAAAAGGAGAATTTTGCCCATACCCAACATACATTGTACATTCATTTACCAGTGGCAGTCCATATATCTCGCCCTTCCTACTTTGCAGGACCTTGCTATGGTACTTATCATCCGTATTATGCTTGAAATATTTGCCAGTGGACATTCAGCAAGCAACAACTGAACTTTTATTCTGTACAATACTAGTATATACAAAATATCGCAGTTGTAATCTCTGTAAAACCAACTAAATGTACCAAATTTGAAAATGATGAGTAGACAGATTTGTTGGGGTTACAACGATATTGATTTCAACCATGATAACTGTGTTTTGTGAAATCAATTTCACAACACCAAATATGGATATAATTTTCCTTAAAAAATAAAATGCTTACAAGCAAACGGTGTGAACTATTAGAACTTGTTGCAATACAAACAAGAAGTATCAGGATAGATCACATATTTTTCAAGTTGTTACCACATATTCCTAGATACATCTACATGTATGGTAGTCACAATTTTCAGCACATATATTTGGGTTAACAAGAGTGCACAAGCTGAAATGTCTCACCTGCTTTAATAATAATCATTCATGATTGATTTAATGTTGATATTCCTAAAGATAAAGTTTTACTACAAGTATCAGAAAAACTTAATATTATCAATGATCATGAAAATGAGGCCAAGGTCAGATAAACCAATCCAGCCTTACAATCATTCCATACACCAAATATTATGAACTATAGCATATATAGTATACAAGAAACAGACAAAACCATGAAAATGAGGTTAAGGTCAGATAGATCCTGCGAGACGGACATATTTGTTTTTCATTCATTATTTTGTACAAAAATCAGGCCATTAGTTTTCTCGTTTTAATTGTTATACATTTGTCATTTCGAGGCCTTTTATATCCGACTATGCGGTATAGGTTTTACTCATTGTTTAAGGCCTTATGGTAACCAATAGTTATTAATTTCTGTGTCATTTGGTCTCTTGTGGAGAGTTGTCACATTTGCAATCAAACAACATCTTCTTA